CTGTTCTACCTAGTGGAGTGTTATCTTCACCTTCAATAAATCTGCACTCCATCTGTTACTTCTGTGTGTCTCGTTCAATTCTTTGTTCAGGACACCAAGGACCTAAACTTCAACTGTATATCTCAAAGGTAACAGTATTTCAGAGAAAGTTGCTCAGCTCATGGCTTCTACAAAGGGGTGAGAGGGAGGTAAGGAGAGAATGGAGGGAGGGGAGTAGAGAGGCAGAGACAAGATATATAGTTCAAAGGCACACCTCCATTGAACTATTGCCTTCAGCCATACCCGCTTGCCTCCAGTTACTACTCAGTAGTCCATTCAAATTATTAATCCATTAAATGGATTAATTCACTGATGAGGTTACATTCGTCACAATCTAAACATTTCTCTGAGCATTTTTCATTGTCTACTGTTGGGAGTCTCCCTGAGAACTCCCCGGGCATTTCAGACATGGCAGCGGGCAAATTGCCAGTGGGCTGCTAGAACTCCCCGGGGCCTTTCAGATAAGGAGCCCCTAATGCTACGTGGCGGCGAGCAAGTTGCCAGCGGGCGGATAACAAGTTGTTCTGAAAACCTTCTAATTGGCCCTCCCATCTTCCATACTCGTGGACAGTTGGTGCCCCCCATGAATCTTATGCAGGGCGGACATGCGTGCACCGTAGGTGATAACCTGACCTATACTATGATTGGCCCCGGGAGCTTCCTGGTTTAAGATAACTGACTCTCACTTTCTATATAAACTAGCACCAGCGTGCAGTAAAGTGCTTCATCTTTGTCACTGCTGTCTGTGTGTGTGCATTTTAATCTCCAACTGACGAACCTTGGCCTTTCACCTACCACATGAACTTTTCAGGTGTCTTTAAAGGTCCAAACCATAATTGTAAGCTTTCTGTTGATGTAACGAATGCCTAAGATAATCAAGTTAAAAATAGGAAAGGTTTATTTTGGCTCACTTAAAAATAGAAACGATTTATTTTTAAGATTTCAGCCCATGGGCAGTTGACCCATTGCTTTTGAGCCTTGATGAGGCAGCATATCATAGTGAGAGCACATGGCAGAGGAAGCTGCTCAGCTAATGAAGGCTGGGAAGTGAAAGAAAGAGAGAGGAAGGGTCCAGTGTCCCATAATCCCCTTCAAGAACACATTTCTAATGACCTAAAGCTCCCAGTAAACCTCACCTTTTAAAGGTTTCCATAACTGTCCAGTAGCACTAAGTTGAGGAAAAAAGGTTTCATCATATGGGCCTTTGGGATAGTTCAGATCCGAACTATGGCATTCTGAAATTAGGTTTGAAAAAAGGCTAGGATTTATGTCTTTCACAATTGCTTATTTGTTCTTTCTCTTAGATTCCTCACTCTGGGTGAAGCAAGCTGCCATGTTGTGAGTAGCTCTTTAGAGAGATCCATGTGAAGCTGGAGACTCTGGCTGTTACAGGCTCAGTTGAATCCCCTAAAGTATCATATGTTGAAGCCCTAACTCCAATATGTCAGAATTTGGAGATTAGGTAAATAAAAGGGATGGTTAAGTTAAAATGGGGCACTTAGAGTGTATTTTCATACAGTCTGACTGATGTTCTTAAAAGAAGAAGAAATTTGGACATGAAAAAGAGACACTAGTAATGAATGCACATCGAAAAATAGAATGTGAAGACATGGTGAGAAGGCAGTCATTTACTCACCAACAAGAAAGGCCTCAGGAAAAAACAAAAACTTGCTGGTACCTTGCTTTTGGACTTCTACCTTCTGGAAATGTGAGAAAAAAATATCTATATTTTGCCTTAAGCCATTCAGTCTTTGTCACTTTGCTACAGCAGCTCCAGTAAATAGTACAACTAGCTAACAACTTGCAAGAAACTGAAGCCTGTGAGTGACCTTGGAAGATTCTGTAGTCCTAGTCTTGCTTTGACATGACAGCAGCTGTGGCTAACAGCTGCAACCAGAT